TTGGCCCAGCACGCTGCACAGATCTGTAAATGGAATGATGATGGCTTTGTGCAGCCTATCACTGCTCTTCCCTGCATCAAGAAAGCTCCGGGCAGACCTTAGAGCAGATTTCTAATAACTTAAGGGGGCCTACAAGGAATCTGGAGAGGGGCTTTTTACAAGGGCCTGTAGGGACAGGACAAGGGGGAATGGCTTTAAACCAAAAGAGGGGAGATCAAGCTGAGCTCTTAGGCAGAAGCTCTTCCCTGTGAGGGTGCTGAGGCACAGGGTGCTCAGAGAAGCTGTGGCTGCCCCATCCCTGGCAGTGTTCAAGGCCAGGTTGGACACAGGGGCTTGGAACAAGCTGCTCTAGTGGAAGGTGTCCCTGCCTGTGGCAGGGGTTGGAGCTGGATGAGGATTAAGTTCCCTTCCAACCGAAACCATCCTGTGATTCTGTGTTCTGTGGTGCACAGGGCTCCCCATGTAGGACACACTGCTACCTGGGATGGTCAGGAAAACAAAAGGCACAGACATTGCTTTGAGCATACAGCCTCTCCCTCCTATTGCCAGGCTCCGTTTCTATCACAGAGTGGAATATGTCCCTGTGCTGGTTCATATCACAGGTGCACAAACCTGGCCCTTCATAAGCACATTACTTATGACCCGTCCGTGCACAGCAGCCCCATTCAGGGAACGTGGCAGCTCTCGTCACACTTTAATCCCTATCTCACAACTCAGCAGCTGCCCTAAATCCCTGTGAGTGATCTCCTGCAGGACAGCACCTCGCACCTGAGCACACACCTGGTGCAGAGCATAGACTCATAGGACCATAGAATCAAGAAAAGACCTTTAAGGTCATCAAGTCCAGCCATTACGTTAGGTTGCAGGCAGGCACCTGCAGTTTCGCATATGCCTCTGCAGGAGCCCTGTACCGAGTCCCTAAATCTTCTCCTGCAGTTCCTGAAACAGCCTTTCCTATCATTATGAGGCTGAAAAGAAAATAAACTTTCATGACCATTTTTATTATCCCGTTTAAGAACTGTTTACCACCTGTTTCATTTCCATGTTAAAACGTGACATTCATTTGGACCCAGGCTCACCTAACCCCTCCTTTTGTCATTGAATTGCTGCACTCAGATCAACTAAGACAGACTTCGTATTCCTAAATAAATCTGCTTCCCTCTCCATGCTGGCCATGGCTCTTGGCAAAGGGGCTTAAGAGGGGAGCTTGGAGGAAATGAATGATATTTTTCATCCCAGAGAAACAAATGCCAAAAGTCAATTTTGCAAAGGTAATACAGCTTCAACTGACTCATGTGTTTGTGGAGATGCTGTGACCCTGCAGAGCCCCGGTGAAAGGAAGAAGCTGTGATTTCAAACTGCATAAACTGTTGATCTTTTGCATTGTTCGGACTTTTGCAATCAAATCTGTGCTCCAGTTAATAAAACGAAGGCAGTTACTCAAGAGGTTTTATATTCAGGGCAGCAAGCAGACCAGCTCTCGGAGACACCAGCCAACTGCCTCTAGTAAAGCCCAGTTGAACCCAATCACATGCGGCAGCTCCCCTCTGTCTCCGTGCAGCATTCCTGCTAAAGTGGTTCTCCCTCACTTAATCCCATCATTAAACCTGAAAACCAGATCCCATTGTTTTAATTCACCTGGCAGCAGCTCACCCTGCTTTAATTGCACACCCCTACAAGTTGATATGAGAAAGGGAACCCAAACCTCATCCCAAAGCTGTCAGCAGAAACACAGCGTTCAACAGCCCCGTTTGACACACAACTCTTGTGTTATACCTATGAGCTTCCAGGCCTGAACTAAGCACAACACTGTAAGGGTTTAAGGTCTCGCTAGTAAAAGCTCTATTTACTCCCTGGGAAGTCACACACAGGGTATTATTTTAGTGGTCTGTCAACACAAAGCTTCAATCTGAGTGGGGTTGTGCCATCCCCAGGCATATATTAATGAATCACTCCAACAGAAGCCGTAGCATCTTAATGCAAGCATCCTTTAAAACAAAAAAAGCAATGAGAATCCAATGTAAACCGCAAAACCAGCAAGTGGATATATTGTTAGGAGGTTTTGATTAAAGCTTTTGAAATTAAAAGGATCAGACTGAGGATCAGAGGAACATACCGCAAAATCATCAAAAGAAGATGAGGAGCAGATTTTGTAGCCCTTGCTCTTGAGGGAGATAAATCAGTACTTTCTGTTTTATGGAGGGAAGGGGTTGCAAAGCTTGGCCTTTGCTGCACAGAACATGTTCTTAGCTGATCTTGAGCCCCTGAAGCCAATTAGTCCTTTGGTGTTTCCCTACAAGGAGTCTCTGACAGGAGAGAGGCTTTCTTGTCAGTTGGCTGGATGTGTCAGGGTGACTTTAAGCACAGCACCAGCACAGTAACAAACAGGCAGATGCTGCAGCTCATCCACCTCCAATCCTGGAAGCAGAGAAGAAAGCCTTTTACAAAGCACCAAGTGAGAGAATTGCTTACATTGCGTGATGGGTACAGTTTAATGCTTTAATGTCATAAAACTCCTTGCACTATATTTCTCACAGAGTACAAGCAGGGTGCCATATCCTGTTTTTTACATGAAAACTTCAGCCTCAACATCAATTTTTGTTTCCAGCCACACCAAAAATAAGGGAAGATCATCAGCCCGTAGCCACGTCAATGTGGCCAAGCCCTCATCCACCCCAAGTCCCTACTGAAACCCCGTTCTGTTTCTTCACCAAACCATGTGTTTCTAACCTAATTTTGCCTGAAATTTACCCCTTCCTTCTCTTTACCCCTTCCTTGGATGTGCAGGTATAAAAGCTGAGCATTGGATATAGACTTTGCATCTAAGTCTGTACTGCACAACCAGAGCTGAATGCAGAGCAATGTAACTGCCCTGTAGCAGTGATTCCAGCACGGCTTTGTGCAGGAAAGAGAGCTCTAAACCCAGATGCTAGGTTACAGATAGGCTTTCAGTTCATTTACAGCAAACTTCTCATTGTTTTAGGCTACCCAAAAGCCACAGAAATGAATCCCCTTTTGCACTATTCCTCTGCTAAAGTGAACCCTACTTAAACACAGACTTGGAGAAGCCACCTGCATTTTTCTCTATTGGCTGCACATTTCCAAGTCACGTTTATAGGTGACAGAGCAAAACAAAGCAAAACCAAACCAAAAAGAGGTTCTCTGCTGAGAATTTATGTGGCACGCTTTGCCTCTCAGTGTTTTTATAGCCTGGTTATAAAGCCCTGGAAACAGAAGGGGATAGAATGGAAATACTGACAGATCCTTACCTAGAATACTGCAAATGAGCGTACCATAAAAATGACTAATTACAGATACTGTAAAGCCCAGCTTAGCTCTCGGGCTCAGCTTCTGGGCTGGAGGGGGGAGATGCAGACAGTGATAACAGAGGGCTCAGCCTCTGCTCCTGTTGGCTTTGCCTACATAGACAGGAGCTTCAAGTTTTGACCCTTCATTAGTGGTCATAACCACAACAGGAAACACTTCTTCTAATGTTGTGACCTTAGTGGCAAGAAAGGTGTTTGCAGGTTAACTGGCCTGAAAAAACCCTGCACTTATTCACTGCCTGCAACAAGTGTCTGGCATATGTCCACCCATAAAGTCCCAAGCAAGTTTCAGCTTATTAAACCTCGCCTTTCTACTTCAGATGGGCTTGAGGATGTCTTAGACCATACAGCAAACCCCCAGATTCTTCTAAGTGAAGAGGAAGGGAGTTCCTCAAAGGCTCTGAAGAGCAAGGACAGAAGGACAAAGTGAGGAGCTGAGAGCTGCTGGATGGAGTCTGTCCGCAGAGGGACACACAGGAATTAGGTGGTTATTGCACTGGGATTGGCCCTACTAAAACAAAAGAGGCCAAAACTAAATGGAGACTTGATAACACTGAGCACCAGGCGTCAGCAGGGGGAAGGTCATTTGGCTGCCCATGTGGAGAAGGCTAGTCACTGTGAACAATAGTTTCTGCATGATTGCAGGGATGGTGCACATGCTGTCATGTTGTGGAAGGGCTCTGCACAGCTATTGCCTGCTAAACTGGGAAACAACCTGAAAGCTACTGTCCCCTGGGAGCTGCTCCATTGCAAGTAGTAAGGAAGACCCTTGCATCCTTTCCACCCATGCTGCAGAAGCTAATGTCAGCTGGCAAAGTGGAAGGCAGCAGGCTGGGGGAGAGCTCAGAGAAGGACAACCTCCAGCATTCCCATTTCCTCCTGTCCTCCTTCCTTCTGCTGGGGAAACCCCTTCCTTGGAAGTGATGCTATCTCCATTGCCTTCCAATGTTTCCATCACATGTATGCTGGGTGCTGCCTTCAGTGCTTGGCTGCGCTGGGCACAGATCCCTGCACACTGTCCCTCCCTAGGGTCACATATCTCTCTGAGGAACAGGCAGCTGTATCCATTAGGAAACCTAAGTGGAGCCAGTCAACTTTACAAGAGATGGTTGAATTGTTCTTGCACCAGAGGGGCCCGCTATCACAATAAAGGCCTCAGCAACAACAAGGGACAAACCCTGGCCATGGACACCCCGAAGGCCTAAAGATAAAGGGTTGGATTACACAAAGCAGCTTCTCATTATCCACTCCTTGATACTGGTTGGGAACTTTGTTTTGAAGGAATCCCTTAATTAGGTTTTACAGTGCATAGGTTAGGCATTTTCCAGCGAGAGCTTTATTGTAATGGGTTGCACATGTTCTCATACTGTACACCGAAATGAAACTTAGCTACAGGGCATTTCCTTCCGTTGCTCTTGCAGGGGAGCAGCTTTAACCTCTTTGCAGACACAAAGCCATATTTCACTCCTGAGAGGCCGCAGCAGTTCCCCACTCCCCATCACTTGGGGTCATTTCAACCCTTTAACTGTGCCATGAACTCACAAATGTGCTGCAGGGAGCAATGGCAGGGGAGAGGTGAGGCAGAGATGGGAAACACCCAGGAGGTTAAAACCCATCAGTGCCCAGGAGTGGCCCAAGGAGCCAGCCCACAGTCCTCAGCCATGCAGCACGTACCTGGTGGCCACATCGCTGACCATTGCTGGTAGGGGAATCATCTGCAGAACCTCCTCTGATGCCAGAAGTGCTGTATTTCTGTATCACCGAAGTCAGGACTGGTTTGGGAAAAGAGAAGAAAAAAGCAGTTTTAAGGGAATGAAGGCACAATTCAGAGGTAAAGGATTTGAATGGGCAGATATCTGGATAGGATTTGTCTGCAGACATCAGCTGTGGTGAGATGTTCTTCTGACCACAGACTTGAGTTACTCAGAGCAACCAGAGCTACTTCTTGGGCTGTAGGGTTTTCTTCAGCTGGAGATCACTGTGACACTAAAGAAATGGGGAGCATGAACACTGCTAGGTCACAGAAGTGACTCAAGGATTCCTCTATTCAGCCCACAAAACTGGTGGTGCAGCATGGCCATCAGAAAAAAACTCCAGATATGGCTTGAAAGAGCAGAATTTACCCCAGGTTTTGTGAACTAACCCAAAACTTGGAAACTTATGACTACCTACCTGTTCAAAACAGTGAAAATAGGTCAAAACCAGCTGAAAGAGGGTAGATTGAGATTAGATATAAGGAAGAGGTTCTTCCCTGTGAGGGTGCTGAGGCGCTGGCACAGGGTGCCCAGAGAAGCTGTGGCTGCCCCATCCCTGGCAGTGTTCAAGGCCAGGTTGGACACAGGGGCTTGGAGCAAGCTGCTCTAGTGGAAGGTGTCCCTGCCTGTGGCAGGGGTTGGAAATGGATGAGCTTTAAGGTCCCTTCCAACCCAAACCAGTCTGGGGTTATATTGAAGGGGGCTTCCACATGGCAAAAGGAGACTTGTCTAGCTTCCAAATCAGACAGAAGGAGACACCTATGCACACAGCATACAGGGAAGCAGTGGGACTTCTTGCCACAAGATGTAGTAGGAAACAATACAGAATCACAGAATCACAGAATCCCAAGGGTTGGAAGGGACCTCAAAAGATCATCTAGTCCAACCCCCCTGCAAGAGCAGGGTAACCTAGAGTACATCACACAGGAACTTGTCCAGTCGGGCCTTGAATAACTCCAATATGGGAGTCTCCGCGACCTCCCTGGGCAACCTGTTCCAGTGCTCTGTCACTCTCACAGTAAGAAGTTCTTCCTGATGTTAACGTGGAACCTTCTATGCTCCAGTTTACACCCATTGCCCCTTGTCCTGTCACTGGATATCACTGAAAAAAGCCTAGCTCCATCATCCTGACACTCACCCTTTACACAGTTGTAAACACTGATGAGGTCACCCCTCAGTCTCCTCTTCTGCAAGCTGAAGAGACCCAGCTCCTTTAGCCTCTCCTCATAAGGGAGATGCTCCACTCCCTTAATCATCTTAGTTGCCCTGAGCTGGACTCTCTCCAGCAGGTCCCTGTCCTTCTTGAACTGAGGGGTCCAGAACTGGACACAATATTCCAGATGCGGCCACACCAAGGCAGAGTAGAGGGGGAGGAGAACCTCTCTTGACCTTCTAACCACCCCCTTTCTAATGCACCCCAGGATGCCATTGGCCTTCTTGGCCACAAGGGCACATTGCTGGCTCATGGTCATCCTCCTATCCACCAGGACCCCCAGGTCCCTTTCCCCTTCACTACTTTCCATCAGGTCAACCCCCAACCTGTACTGGTACATGGGGTTGTTCTTCCCCAGATGCAAGATACATTTCCATGCATTCAAAGGGCAAGTAAACAAGTTCTTGGAAGCAAAAATCCTTCTAGGTATCCTAAGTACCAAACCACGCTGTGCCTGGGTTTCAGTCCCACAAACAGGGATGTGGCAGCTCGGTGCTGAAGTGACACCTGAGGAAGTGTTTCTAGAAACAGGAATTTGCTTTCTGTGGTACCCGCTCCTGTTTGTACTTGGACCTTTGCAAATCAGGCTTTTGGCTCACTCTGAAGAAGGGAATTTGTGTTGTCTTTATGCTTTAAGCCTGAATTTGTCCTGAGGGAACAGTAGCAGAAAAAAACAACCATTTCTTTTTAATAGACACCAGCGTCGTTACTTAGGTTTGGCGAGTTCAAAGGATTGAGAGGTGAATGAGATCATCAAGGAAGTCATTTCTTTCTTTACTTCTTCTTTCCTGGGCTGCATCAAAAGGAGGTGATCCTGCCCCTCTATTCTGTTCTCGTGAGACCTCACCTGGAGCATTGTGTGCAGTTCTGGTGTCCTCAACATAAGAAGGACATGGAACTGTTGGAACAAGTCCAGAGGAGGCCATGAGGATGATCAGGGGACTGGAGCACCTCCTGTATGAAGACAGGATGAGAAAGTTGGGGCTGTTCAGCCTGGAGAAGAGAAGGCTGCGTGGAGACCTCATAGCAGCCTTCCAGTATCTGAAGGGGGCCTATAGGGATGCTGGGGATGGACTCTTCATTAGGGACTGTAGTGATAGGACAAGGGGTAATGGGTTAAAACTTAAACAGGGGAAGTTTAGATTGGATATAAGGAGGAAATTCTTTCCTGTGAGGGTGGTGAGGCACTGGAATGGGTTGTCCTGGGAGGTTGTGAATGCTCCATCCCTGGCAGTGTTCAAGGCCAGGTTGGACGAGGCCTTGGGTGATATGGTTTAGTGTGAGGTGTCCCTGCCCATGGCAGGGGGTTGGAACTTGATGATCTTGGGGTCCTTTCCAACCCTAACTATTCTATGATTCTATTCTAAAAAGATCCCACACAGGAATACAAGACCCATGCTATGGTTTGGGAACGCTTCCCCTCAGCCCTGCAGACCTCACTCATCTTCTCTGCTGTCCCTTCCCCAAGGCACAAACTTCCCTCTTCAAGGGGACAGGCACCTTTTGTGCACCCTCTGCCTTCAGCGCCCCCATCACAACATGAAGCAGGTGATGGCAGAGCCGCCTGCAATCCCCACATTCCTCTCTTCCCAAAGGATGGAGAAGCCCCCCTCAGCACAGGAGAAGTCAGGATTTATCTACAGTGACAGCCCCCCGGTCATGCAGCAGCAGGGAGCAGGGCCCCCCATCTTGGACACCTCGGGGTCACCACAGGCCAGCCGCAGCACCTCCACTTGGCTGTGACCTTGCGGGAGCCCTTGCAAATCACATCTGGAATGTGTTTCGGCTTCAAGAGCAATAAATGAAAACACTGAACACAACAGGGTCGAGGCAACGTTGTTTGAAAGGAAAGGTAATGCTTTGACCCTGCTTTGGCCCATGACATGCCTGGTTATTCCACCAAGCAGTGCGGAAGTGGGGCTGGGGATGGGTAAAGGATAATAAGCTATTTTGCCATAAAATAATACAATTCATTTCAAGCTCCAGTGGCACCCAAGGATGGGAAATGGGAGAGGGGCTTTTTACAAGGGACAGGACATGGGGGAATGGCTTTAAAGTAAAAGAAGGGAGACTGAGATGAGCTCTTAGGCAGAAGCTCTTCCCTGTGAGGGTGCTGAGGCGCTGGCACAGGGTGCCCAGAGAAGCTGTGGCTGCCCCATCCCTGGCAGTGTTCAAGGCCAGGTTGGACACAGGGGCCTGGAGCAAGCTGCTCTAGGGGAAGGGGTCCCTGCCAGTGGCAGGGGTTGGAACTGGATGAGCTTTAAGGTGATTCTGTGTGACTTGACAGAGGTTACAGGGAGAACACACCACACCACAAGCAAACAGCTCCACGTTTTCACTGCAGCACTTTCAGACAGCATCTCACTGACTTTTCCTGCCTGATCTTTGAGTTTAAAATGCATAAAAAGGAGCCTGACCACCCTCTCACTGAATAACTGGCTTACAGAAAACTGTTGCTTTTTCTCCTAAAGGACTGAGAAACAGGGGCCTTCAATATCTTCTTTGTGCAATTTGATTTTGCAGCTTCCAGCCCAAGATAGCATTTCCTGACCTGTGAGGATATGCTGCCCTCTTCCAGCCTTGGACACTGCAGCTCAACAGTGCCATTGAGACACATCTCCATGGATCTACAGGATTAACCAAAAGAATCAGTAATCCTCCACTTCCACAGGTCTAGTGTCTCTTAGCAGCTAGGTAATGGGTTAGACAGAATCCATTAAAAGCATTAGGGACTAGGATTGTGTTCAAGCAGGCTCTTCCTGCAGTCCTGCATCCACAAGGATGTGAGGCTGTTGAAGTGAGTCCAGACGAGGCCACAAAGATGCTGCAAGGGCTGGAGCAGCTCTGCTCTGGAGCCAGGCTGAGAGAGCTGGGCTGGATCAGCCTGGAGAAGAGAAGGCTCCTGAAGGGGAGACCTGAGAGCAGCTCCAGTGCCTAAAGGGGCTGCAGGAAACCTGGAGAGGGGCTTGGGACAAGGGCCTGTAGGGACAGGACAAGGGGGAATGGCTTTAAAGTAAAAGAAGGGAGACTGAGCTGAGCTCTTAGGCAGAAGCTCTTCCCTGTGAGGGTGCTGAGGCGCTGGCACAGGGTGCTCAGAGAAGCTGTGGCTGCCCCATCCCTGGCAGTGTTCAAGGCCAGGTTGGACACAGGGGCTTGGAGCAAGCTGCTCTAGTGGAAGAGGTCCCTGCCCATGGCAGGGGTTGGAGCTGGATGAGCTTTAAGGTCTCTTCGAATACAAATCAGTCTGGGATTATATGGCTCTTGACCTCACATCCCACATCTGCCCTCTCTCCCGCCCAGTTTGGAATGCTGAGCCCCTTCACCACCACACAATAGACCCTAACACCTCTCCTTATCTGTTCCATCATTCACATCTAAAGAATCCTGGAAAGAACAGTATCTTTTATTAAAATGTCATCATCTTGGAGCCTCTGCCAGGGATTTGACTGTTTTGGGATGGGCAATAGGGATGAGTGAGCAGGAGAGAGCACCAGGAGCCTGCTGTAAGCATCTATGAGCTGCAAGCCTGTTTTTCTCCTTGGGCAATGGGAATGGATGAGGTCTTTCCATCCCCACTGTGACTCCAGTTTGTCTCACCTCCTGCTCTCACAGGTGCCTGTGTGCCGGGACATCCCCTCCAGCAATTCCTGCTCTTATCAGCTGCTGAGGATTAGAGGGACCTTGGAATAGAAACTTCAAGGAAAAAGGGAGAATTGCATTTCAAAGAAAGTGCCTTGAAAGAAACCTTTGAAGGACCCTATTCAAAGGTTCCTGACTTGATATAACCATTTTAGAAAGA